TTTCTGATCAGGTAAGATACAGGTAATGGTACTACAAACTTCTCAGCTTCTACTAATATATCTCAACCGTGATGTAAAGGGATGACTACTGTATAATTTTTCAGTTCTTCCATTAAGATTGCAGGAAATGATGCTAGTCCAAATACAGAGAGCTAAGGACTGGGAAATAGATTAGCAAAAAAATAACCTCACATTGCCCTAAAATGCTTTTTCTTTTAAGGGCACAAAGCAGCAACAATTGACATTGGAAGAAGCGCCATATATATCACTGTGGCAATTCAGACACAGGTGCCTTACAGAAAAGTGCAGGCAGCTTTATTCAATACCCTGATGCAATTCCAGCATCCTCAGTACTCTTTACTTCAACCTTGTTTGCTTCAGGTCAGTGACTACAGGCCATTTTCATTTAAAGCCAACAAAACTGACTTCACAGAAGTAGCTTTACATACTCCACTCTCTGAACTGGACTGCAGTCAATTTAAAAGTAGACTGCAGACACTCTGAAATTGTCTACAGTTTAAAGTTTAGACACTAGATTTGATAAAGTGCTAAATCCTGATCAAGTGGAAAAACACACCCATGCAAGACACAGTGCTTAACTACTGGATTGTTCTAACAGAGCTAAACGAATACCAATAGCCTTTTTTATTCCAAACTCATAGTACATTTCTGCACCTGCTGGATGTCAGATGTTTTTGCCAAATTTTGACATTTCAGAGCTACGTAGCACAAGGGCAGCAGCAGCAGCCCTTTGGTTTGCTTTATCATGTGATACTTGTCAACTACTGTTGACCCACACAGTTCTTGTAGTACCAATTTCACCTTGTCTGCAACACTCCTTAAATAATGAATTGTCTGAAGCTAAAGGTACAAATGCAGCTGTGTTTCCATAACGCATTGTTACACCACAAACACTAACCATAATAGAAACATCAGAACCAGATTTTGCAGCAAGCAGGCTTAAAGGCGTTAACACTGGTCTCTGAAATGATAATACCACTTTAGTCTTGCCCATATAAGATTTAAACCACATTTTCTGTTCTAGAGCATAACCATTTCCACTACAGAGTTAAAAAAAAAATAAAAAATGTTTACAACAAAAAGTCTAAAATATGAGAAGGAAAACAATCACTAATGAAACCTGTTCTTATCTCAAAAGCTGGTCGTGAGTCCAAAGACTAAGCTATTCTGTTTGAGTCCCTTTTTGGATCTGAGAAGGGTAAATCCAAAATTCTAACCCTCAAGCTCTCTGCTTTTAGGCTAATACGAAAAACAGCTGATGGCAAAAGTATGACAGCTTAATGCTATATTAATGCAGATGCCTAGAAGTAATTTGTTTTTGACTGGGCTCCGGTTACTTTTAAGCCTGCATTAAGATCTACATTATTTTTTTCAGACCTTGCTTGGACTTAATCTGTAGGTGTTCTCGTAAGCATGCCAGCTGGATTAGGTTCTACATAAAACACTGCCAGTCTTTTGAGGGGATTATTTTTTATTATTTTTAAAATAAAGAGCCTCTTCCTGCAACTCATTACGTACAGGTATTTTTTTATGTTCAGTAAGCCAGTGGTTAGATCAGCCACTCAAGAGATAGGCAATCTGCACTAAAGATTTTCTTCCCAAACAAAGCAGATCTGCAACAACAGCAGAATCCTTTATGAGAGCCATTCTTCTTTCCCCTGCCTTAGGCTGAAAACAACACAAAAAGCACCTCTCCTCTTTCATTGCTACAGTGAAAGAATCTACTGTGAGTTTCTGCAATCACCTGACATAAGGTGGCAAAAGGGAATGCTCCTGCAAAAAGGCATTTCGTTGCTAGTGCCCAGTGAACTGAAGAACAACAGAAATGTCTTTTGGCTCTGAATATTTTTGAGACGGCAACGCAGAGCTGTTACATGCAACTCAATACATGTGCTGTTGAATCCATACTACTCAGCAGGCAAGACTTCTGTCAACTGTTGCATGAAGTTCAGTGTTTCCAGAGAACCAGATTCATATCTCAGCTTGGCTGAAGTGGGAAGCAGTGTTTCCTGGGCAACTATTGAAAATGCCTGGCCAGGACACTTTTTTTTCATTCTGTGTCTTAGTGACCAATACTTAAGAGATCACCTTCACAAAAATATGAAATTATCAATAGGTGATTGAGAACTTCTAAGAGTTGTGAATAGGATCTCTAGCAAGCTACTTTAAAGAGGTTCATTTCTGCCTTAAAGATTTGTTACCATTTTGGTGCTTCACTGAGATAATTTGACTTCAAAATCTACATTACATTTAAAAAAAAAGAGTTTCTTTCATTTCCCCTTAAACAGCAGATCTTAAAAAAATAGTACTTAAAACTGCATTTTTCAAAGACCGTTGAAGTGGCAGCGTGCAGGATTGATAAGCAAACTTCTCTACAGCTGCTCTTAAATTGCTCACACGATGATTAAAGTAAGGATCAAGCAGTTCAGAACCAAAACAGAAAGCAAGATTTATTTCCCCACCCACTATTTTAAACCCTACAAGGTAGGAGGGAGAAAAGTGGAAATAGGGAAAAATGAGGGGAACTTAAGGGAAAGAACACAGCAGCAAATGCTCTGGATCTAGGCATAGGAAAATTGCTTTGACATGGGAACTGATAGACAGAAACTCTCCCCTGCCAACTCTGGTATCAGGAGTATGTCAGAAATGAGGGTGGAGATAGTGACGGAAAAGGGAAATGCAGGTATATAGTTTCTGCTGCTGCCCGAATTCTCTGGGGAGCACTTGTGCCCAGAAACAGCTAGTGACAACTTACGGTATTTGAGGTTTCTGCAGATGTTTTGCTGTTCTGAGGAGTCATATAATATCTTTTTAGATGTTTAAGTATAGATTCTAGAGCTTAACTTTTGTCAGTCATATTTGGCTTTCATTTGCTTGGAGGAGTTTTCAAATAGAAAAAGCTGCCAGACCATTACCAAACTTGTGTCTCCTACTATGTGAAGATGGAAGAATGGACAAATAAAGTAAAAAAATAACTGTACTTAAAATATCTATCTTAATCTATTACTGTCTTTGTTTTGTTAATCAGAACCTACTGACTTAAGTTTTCCTTATATCACTGGTGCATAAAGGGTGAAATTTTTATACATTTTTATCAGCAGAGTCTGAGATTTTGTGCATGTGTGTGCATACATGCATGTATCTGCACCTGCCCTAAAGAGATAAAGTAGTTATGTGTGGGTGGGATTCATTTGTCTAAATGTGGGTGTCCATGATTTTAGGTATAGTATTCTGTCTAGTCTCCAGCTACTGCTCTGAAAGGCGATGGGTATCCTTTAGGTCCTGTGCCTTCTCCAGCAGTCCCACATGAGTTTCTTGGATGCATCAGATGGCACTCAATATTACGTTTAGGTTACTGAATATCATCCAAAACACATGTACATGGACTTACTCTAATCCTAAATGCTGACTAATGTTTTCTGCAATTATTACTCATGCACACAACTGTTTCCATCCCAGAGGACCAAGTTCTATACTAGGAAATGCAATCCTTAAGAGTAGCTCACTTGCATCAAGCAAAGAGGAGACAGAGAGCATTTTTGGATTTTTTTGACAAATGTGCATAAAGCATGGAAATGGACAACATACCCTTATATGCTATATAAACACAAGTTTTCGTTAACAATTCTAGATTGAGTCAAAGCCCAGATGACAGTGAAGACACTGTGACAAATCTTGACTGCAAGAATGGGAATAAAACAAAACCTGCCAGATGTGACGTGCATAAAATCTCAGATGAACAAGAAAAAAGTGCTTGCCTTTCATTGAAACAGGAAGGTGAATAAGACTTCACAAGAAGATATGAGATTGCATTTCAATGAATCCCTTGATTTTTGGGTGACACTCACGTCCATCAACAATTAACTAGTGCCAATGCATACCTACGTCAGATTGACGGTGAAACAACTTGCAAGAGTAAAACCAAGTCTTTTTAGGGAAGAAACCCTTATTTTTTACTACAAGTATTAACTTACTCCTCTACTATTATTTTTGAATTAGAAATTTTAATATATCATTACAGTGGTGTAAAGAAAGGCTTTAAAGCACGCTGTTAGCTACTTACAGAAGACAAATTTCCATTGCAGCTGCAGGCCACAATGTCTCTACAGTATCAGAGAGAAAAGTGGATCGCCTGTTACACTGATTTCTGAAAGAAACCTTTGAAACCATCTGCTTAAGAGCAGGCCTGGTAGATACTACTCAGCTGAGAGCATGAGTTTGGTAACCTGAAGAAAGAAAATATCTGCTGAGGACATTAGGAAAAACTGTTACAAGTGTCATCATTTTATGGCAATTGCAGACTTCAGTTATATCTAATGGAATAATTTCTCCATGCCAATAAAAATATTAAGAAAATAGCACAGACATTTGAATTTATAAAAACGGAATCTGCAATGCCAGCTTCACATTTTTTATTGTACAACTACAAAGCTAATGCTTGCCTTCCTTTGAAATCAGAAGGTAAGTTTTTAGTACAGTGCTTTGGCCACACCATTTCCACAAATCAATCCAAATCCATTTAAAATGCATTCTGTTAAGTGCTTTTATGGAAGATAGAGGGGAACTAAAACACGAGGAAAGCATCTTTCCTTCCCCACCCATAAACAATAAAAGACACCAGACTGAAGGCAGACAAACTTGGAGCCACTTCATCATTTCACGTTTCTCCTCCTGCTTGTCTAGCTTCTTCATATCAAAATCCTTACAGCTCTATTTCATGATAAAATTGGCATGCAACAGACACTCATAAATCTATAACAAGGAACCTGTTAAAAAGGGAGGTAATACTTCTGCATTTTACCTCTTTACATTGTAAGCAGAGATGCTTCCAATAACTTTTTCAGTGTTTGGCATAATCCTGTAGGAACAACCTATGAGTAAGTATAATATACCTGTACAGTTTCAGAGCAATTTTATATAGCGTGCACATGCAGAAAATTCAATATTTTTATACTTATGATAAAGCTGCAGATACTAACCTGCCAAGGCCGATCCCAATCAAGAGGAATAGGAAATGCTCCAAACCAAGCTCCTAGTATACTGCACATGGTAGTGATCCGTAGACTGCTTTCCCAGATGGAGGTAGCTCTGTAGAAACAGCGTGTTACAAGATTTCAACAGCAGTAGAAGTTACCATCTCAGAATGTTAGATCTGATTTCTCCCAAGATTTCTGAGACTACAAACAGATATAAAAATCAGTATTTGATAAATAGCATGCAGGTTTCTCCTAAGAGATACACACTATATGTAAAATGTAAGTTGTATATTTTAGCTATAATCACAATCTTTCTATACCACACATTCAGGAGATTTTTTTATTCCCCTTAGATGTTTACTGCAAAAGCTAATATTTTTATCTGGAAATACTCCTATTGAGCTTGAAACACTGTATGATTGAGCAAGTTAAAATATCACAATGATACTGTGTGTATTGCAGGGAAAAGCAGATATGAAGGGTAATAGGGGATTGTATAGAAAAGTGGAAGCACAGTTGCAGAGTACTCTATGGTGGAGTCACATTGTTATTATTTGATGACTACAACAATTTAATATTTAAAATAGAAGTCCATTGTGTGAATATTCTAAAGCAATTTCCATCAACTGAAAAGAAACCTTGCAAATAAACGTAACCTGCATGCTGCAGCCCTTCACCAATATTGCATCCAAGTTCAAGTACACTGGCTGCAGGATAAATTTATTGCATGTTAAAGAATTCTTGCATCACCACTCATGGCACATATATCGTAACAGATTAATGACTCCAGTTCTCAGTTCATAGCCTTCTACGACTACTGACTTCAAAAGTTTTGGCAAAGTTGGGTTTCCATTTAATAGGTAAGAACTTATTGTCCATCATCAGTTTACCAAGCCATGAACATTTGAGTACTTGCTACCAACTAAGAAACAAGAACAGTAGTCCAGAACACAGCAGGGCACAGTTCTGAGACAGGAGAAGCAGACTGAAATCCCTGCTCCAAATCAGTAAGGCAAGAGGATCTGAATCTTAAATGTTTGCTATATCTCTGATTATAAACAAACTGAGCTGTAGCCAACAGAAGAAAAAAATGGGCATTTTTATAGCTAGAAGACTAACTGGATAGTAAACTCCAAACTTCACATGTGCTGGTTAGGCTGCAGACATGAAAGCTTTAAACCTAGACCTTGTTTCGAAGAGAAGCCGGCTAACATTTCTGACTTGACTTTTGAGTACACATAACTCACTGCTGCACTTGATATTGACCAAAGGGCTCACAAGTGTAAGACAAACATTTTTTATTGTTTACAAAATAAAGGTCATACAGGTTACAGTGCAACATTGACATTTTGAGCAGAAACAGGACTGTTTCCTCTACAGTAACCCCATCCTTCTAACTTAGAACAACTGATTTCAACTCACAGTCCTACCAGCTTGAGATTTTTTTTTTTAAGGGAGAATTCCCGATTTAACTAGAAAACTTTAGGAGCCTGCACATAGAAAATTATTGTAAATTATTTTCAGAAACTGAATAACTGAGCAGAGAGCTGTTACGGCAACACAGGAAAGAGAACATTCACTATAACCTTAAAGCAGTGAAAGAGACAGCAGAACATACCAAGTACTGACCGAGGTAGATTTATACTTCAAAAGACATCTTATCTGGTAAATCTGCACAGATACTGCTGCACCATATGGAGATATCAGATTGAGTCCCAAAGCAAAACAACAGAATTAGCAAGGCACAGTGCCCAAGTAAAGAACAGCCATTGGTAGTTTAGCAACCATTTGAGCTGCTAATTCAACTACTCTGCAGTATGGACACTGGCTACTCAAATACAACCTGACTTGTCCTCTGACATTATCCTGGAGGAACGGTGCTCTGATTATTCTCTTTTCTGCACGAAATGTCATCCATTGGGATTTTTGCAGGTATTCTTTAACCCATTAACCCATCACATCATTTGCACAAAGCTAACAACAACAGCAACATTTATAAACTTCGAATTTTATAGGTTTCTTTATTTTTTAAACTATGAATAAACTACAATTAAACTATTCTGCAGGCAAAACTAGTGATATTTAAGATTGTAGCCCTGAGGAGAAGGACCTGGGTGAGCTGACTGACGAGAAGCTCAGCATGAGCCAGGAATGTGCAATGTTGGCCAGAAGGCCAACCGTATCCTGGGCTGCATCAAAAAAAGTGTGGCCAGCAGGTCAAGGGA